GGACACCCTGTATATTACGCACAGATGAATGTAAAAAAAATCATATATATGTAGTAATCGATATGCTAACGCTGCAGATTTTTATAATATTATTTACCATGTTATTCGTTTGTATTGTATATTTTCAACAAAAAAAATATTAAAAATATAAATGTAAATATACCGAATATTGTGATAAAAAATAAACAATGTGAAATTTAAAATTTTCGTGTTAATTTATTAACATTTTTTTCATTTTTGCCATGTCACTGGACAAATTAAAAAAAATTATAATCAACTAGATCGATTTTAATTCGATTATTTCAACGGAGCGTAATTTTAATTAATTAATACGCGAAAAAACTCGTTAATAATTTTCACAGCACACTTTCCAATATTTATTATTACGAATTTCTACGAGGGTGATTCACAAAATGAAATTTTAAATGCAATGCACCTTTGATGTGATGAAAACTTATCAATTTTCAATATTTCCATTTCAAACGTCAAACATTTTGCCTGCTTTTAGAGAATATTCGTTAAATTAAGTTAAATTACCCAAGGCTACAACTAGATAACGAATTTCATTATAAGATAAATAAATTAATAAAAAAATTTTGAGGTTTTCCTTCCTGATTGTCGGTAAAGTCAATTTTATTGTAACTCAAATTAAATTAATTTCAAACATTAAATTATAAATTAAACAATTAAAATTATTATATAACATTAATTGCTATTGAATGAATTATTTAGTTATTATTTACCGAATTACCTAATACAGTATAAAGCACTTAATTAAATCCGATAAAAAAATAAAACTATTTGTCTATGTATTGATTTATTTTGCACTTTTCGAGCTCCCATCGTTGTATAAACAAAATAATGTTTGGTACAACAATTCCCGTTAACAACAACTACCAGAAAATTCGTCCAAGTTACAATCCATTAACTCCCTCTATATACAAAAAAAAAAAAAAAAAGAAAGCGATGAAAAAAATTAAATAAATAAACAAAATAAACTGGGAAAGTCGAGATAATCCGATCCGCTTTTAACGGAATGAAAAACGTCTCTATTCCCTTTCCCCCCCCCTCGTTACCCTTCCCCACTCGCCCCTTTAATCGTCCCGTCTCTGTCTCTCTCTTTAAAACCCGTATATATTTACTTAAAGGCGCTTTCCAGACGAGGAAATTGCTACGTCGAGAATGGAAAGCGATTCGATCTCTTAATGTTTCGTAATTTCCAGATTATTCCGCCGAAGCATTCACGAAAAAAAAAAACCACCCCAGAGAGAATATTCGAATGAATAACACATTACTTAATCGATTCAACAAATCGATTCTATATAACGCCAATTTAATTTTTTATTAAGATATAAGTCGATATTAATTTTTTTATTCGCTTTGTTGTAGTATGAAAAATGTGTCAAAACGTGATATGGGGTGAATAGATAAGGGGATGAATAGACTTGGATAAAAGGGGATAAATATACACAAAATATGAAGGTGAATAGACAAAGATAAGAGGATGAATAGATATAGATAAGGGATGAATAAACATGCATAAAAGGGGATAAATATATACAAAATATGAAGGTGAATAGACATAGATAAGTGGATTAATAGACATGGATAAAAGAGGATAAATATACACAAAATATGAAGGTAAATAGACATAGAAAGGGGATGAATAAACATGCTTAAAAGGGGATAAATATGAAGGTGAATAGACATAGGTAAGGGGATGAATATACAAAAATAATGAGATGGATACAAACGTTTAAAAGACAGCGAATATCCTAGTTTAAGGATGAATATCTATACCGGTTGTCCCGATTTCCGCGCGGAGGAATAAATCGATTAAAACAGAGTAGAATCGAAAAAAAAAAAAAAAAAGTACCGGTGACAACAGAGAACATGTTTATCGGAAACAGGACGAAACCGGTCGAGCATTTCGCGCCGCAAATGAAGCTCAAACGCTCGACGAGATTAGCCGGGCATAAATGAGTTTCTCGATTTCGTCGGGGAATATTCAAATTTCGCAGGCTTTTTTTCTCTCCCACTCTCTCGCTCTCGCGCGCGTTGCATCGGAATTCTACGAGGGGATGAGGATGGAAAAAATGGAAAATAAAAAAAAAATGTAAAAAGGGGACGAATTAGCAATTCAAATGGAGCGTTAGCTCATAAAAAGAATGTAAATGTACGAAACGTTTATGCGGAGGATATTGTGGATATGTGGAAACATATTTTTTTTTTGCTAGCTATTTTTTGTTATAGAGAGAGGATGAAATGTGAAAATGAAATTTGGCAATTATATTTATAGCAGACGAAAAGTATAGAGGAGAATAGAAAGCCGGTAGAAAATAGTAGAAGAGAGTAGGAGTATTTTAATTCAACAAATTATAATTTAATTAACCTAATTACATTACGAATTAATCAACACCTAACTATAAGTACTTATACTTTATACAGGGTGTTAATTAATTGTATGACGGTACTTCAGGATGTGAATATTTGATTTATTTTAAGAAGAAAAGTTTATATCAATGTATGGCCTAAACCTCTTAGTTTTCGAGCTACAGTGTGTTAAAATTTTAGAAAAAAAAATAAATTTTCTATCATATTTTTCTTATTACTCCAGATATTTTTAAGAAATTTTGTATACACTTTTTAATTATTAAGGAGCATTTTTTGATGTATAAGATTTTTTTAAATTTTCACCAGTGACGTCCGTACGGAGTTTGAACTGAATATGTTTGAAAAAAAATTGTACACCACTGCTTTTTCTAAAAACTAAAATTATTTTTAAAATCCTCTTTTATTTTGTAGCAAATTCGGTCAGAAGACTTATTTTCGTACAACGCACCATTTTCGCGTAAAAAAATAAAAACCAAAACCATTTTTTCCCAAATTTATTTTGAAACTGCTTTTGATAATTCGTTGAAATTTGATAGGCGCCCACAATGCATATAAACATTTTTTTTGGGATAAAAATTAATATTCTACTATTATCAGTGACGTCCACGTCCGAAATTTCATAAAAATATCTGCCGTAATAAAAAAATTACGATAGAAATACAATTAATTACAGCATACAATTAATTAACACCCTGTATACAACGCTAAAATAAATTACCCGTTATTATCGCATACCTTTCGCTTAATAACAGTCTACAATTTACAATTCTCATTGTAGTATATACGCTTAATATTCCTATAATAATATTTCCCCCCCGGTTTTCCCGGTGAATTATACCGTTTTTCGGGGGTGGTATATGAATAACGGCTATTAAAAATGGTTTAACTCGCTTGAATTATATTCCGGATTCCTCGGTTTATAACAGTCCCGAATAGTCCCAAATTGCTTGTTAAATATGTAATAATGAAATCCAGTCGGACGGGAAACTGATCTATTATCTTGTATCATTATAAGCAATTTAAAATCCTGGTACATGCGAGTGCGAGAAAGAGAGTGAATTATTCTACTACAGTACTAGAGGGAGAGAGATAATGTATGTCAAACAATCGATTAATCGCGATGATGTCTAATCGATTGGGACAATTCTAAACGTTTAAATAGATTAAAAAAAATCGTATCGAATGAATAATCGATTGGAAAGTTCGATGTCGAAGTATAATGAAAAGTAAACTGGATTTATATTTCCCTTTCCGAAGAGAAAATGGCGGAAAAGCGTTTCGCTGTTTCACAAGCTCACTAGATTTCGATTCGGAAAAAAAGGGGTAAGGCTTGTTTTCACGGGAAATTGAACGAAATACGCCGATACGTTTTTCTTTTCTTATTTTCCTTGTCTTGGTTTGTTTTCATGCCATTTTCCCGGACCCAAAGGAGCAGGACGATTCAAAATAAACGCGACAAAAAAAAAGTCAAACGCTCGGAATGTATGAAGAATGGAAAATTCAATCCGGAAAATCCAACAAAAAAATCCACTTCACAAAGTTTTTCATCGCATTAAATCGACATAATTCGACACGAAAATCGATTGTACTTATTTATACCTAAGTAATATCGATACTACATCGATGAATTGATAATAACAGGGAATTCCTGGGAAAACTCGAAGGGCTTTCCATTCGGAAATTTCCTCGAGAGAGAGTTTTGTCTCTAAATGAAAATGCAATTGCAATTGTGTTACCGGAGGAGGCTTTTGTTGTTTGCATGCGAAACGGTACGCTTTAGAGAAGCGCTCAAAACGAGTTATTTAGAGACTGAAAATAAAAAAAATAATAGAGTGGAAAATGGAGCCCTTTGAAATGCGAAACGAACCGGAGAGATTCTTTTTGTCGCCAAGATATATTTTCCGTTAATTAAACTCGACATTTTCAGGTAGATAGGCGTATATTTATTTATTTATTTTAAATAAAAAAAAATTTAAAAGGTTAGTTAATTGGGATTAATTGGCGCCTTAATTGAGTTGATTTTAGCATTTTTTTGAACCGCTTTAAACTGACTAGGACAGTTCTAATTCAATCCCTAATAAGCAATTTGACTGTAAAAATTAAACATTCGAAATTTTACAGAAAAAATGGGACACCCTGTATACAAAAAAAAATGACGGGGCCATCGACTCCCAGGAGTTCGCAAACGCGCGAAAGTTGGGCAATCAATCATCCGTTATTAGTAAAATCCTGATGGTATATAGGAAAAGCTAATGGATCGAGGCCTTTTCGGCGATTTTCCCGGTGAAAAGCGCCCCGAGGAATTTTCCGTTTTCAATTCGAAAATGCCCCGGTAATTGATACTCTTCTCGAAGAGGTGGCGCCGAAAGAAAAGCCCTATTTAACCTACCCTTATATGCGAAAGAAGAGAAGAAAATTAGGGTGGAAATTCGCCAGTTTTCCTCTGCATGTTTCGTTCGAATTGGATTTTAATTACGCCCTCCCATCAAAGCCTACTTCATATTTTCCGAACGCTCATTCTAAACTGTTATGAACGATTTTGAACAGTAATTTTCCAGAAAAAATAAATTTGGCATATATACAGGGTGGTCCATTATTGTTCGCAGGTTGCTGGTCGCTGAAAAACACGCGCATAATCGTACCGGAGGCGGTACGCATCGACGATGACGTCACGTTGACCTGCCAATACGATCTGGAATCGGCCCAGCTCTATTCGATAAAATGGTACCGGAACGACGAGGAGTTCTATCGGTTTGTGCCCAAAGAGGCTCCACCAGCTCAACAATTCAACGTCCAATATGTCAACGTTAACGTAAGTATGGATTATTTATTATTATTATTCCAGATGGAGGTCCAGAAAGAGTCTAGAAAGGTTCCAGGAAGGCTCTGGAAAGGTTCTTTAAAGGGTATAAAGTGGTTCTGTAGTGGGTCTATTATTGGAATATGCAGGGGTGTTTAGATAATTTACAGGATATATGTGGAATAGATGTATTGTTGGTCACCCTGTATATTGCAGAATGGCAAAATAGTGGTTCATATAGTGGTATATTAGTGGGGCTTGAAATGGTCTACAGTTGGTCTACAAAAGAGTTTGTAGTGGGTCCAGAAATAGTCTAGAAAGGTTCCAGGAAGGCTCTGGAAAGGTTCTTTAAAGGGTCTAAAGTGGTTCTGTACTGGGTCTATAATGGATGGTGAATGAATGAAAAATGGCCAAAAACTAAACAATTTACAGAAGGAAATTTTCGATAGCGCTCGAGCAAATTCCCGCAGCCTTTTATACGTTAATAATTACCGGATTTTGGTGGTGCAACAAAGCTCTTTCGAAATTATGGATTTAATTAAGTTTCAGAAATCCTTTGTCAAAGGTACATAGGTAAACGGGTATACAAATGCGGATTGTGTGCATCTCTCTACATATACGCGTGTATTAGTTTGTTGTATAAACAAGACGAACGAATATCCCGGAATGCTCCGGTTGGTTTCCGATAGTTCAAAGAAAATGCCCCCGTTTCCCCCACAACCCTCCCCCCCCGCGAATCTCCTGCTCTGTCGGCGTTTCGAGAAACCTCACAAGTCTTAAGGCGATTCCCCAAACCTTATTAATATCCCATTGTATACCTCACAACAGGACCTATGTACAAGGCGTACGAACTGATTTAGGACTATTTGGAACTGTCTTCAATACAATGTTGACATTTGACAGTTGACAGTTTTGACAGTTGACAGATTTGACAGTTGACAGTTGACATTTTTGACATTTTTGACATTTTTGACATTTTTGACATTTTTGACATTTTTGACATTTTTGACATTTTTGACATTTTTGACATTTTTGACATTTTTGACATTTTTGACATTTTTGACATTTTTGACATTTTTGACATTTTTGACTAAATGGCCGGTTCCGGGATCTACTCTCTGTCCGGCACGCTCGAACAGATTACCAGCTATTATCTCATTATCTCGGGCTCGCCGCCCTCTCGATCGAGTTAAATCTAAACTAAATTATTCCGTTCGATTAATTCGAGCAGGACGAGTTGCGGTTCGACAACTTCGCAGAAAAGCGGTCGGGGAAAATTTTCCTCGCCGGTGAAAATTTTCCCGCGGTCGTTTCTATTCGATAACAATTGCACGCGAATGCCAAATGGTAACGAGAAAAGTTCGATAATTGATTCAGAATTGTCGTGTTAAATTTAGATAACATTCATTATGTCATGGTAGCTTCTTCTTTTTCATTACACATTTCCCTCCACTTACTAAATTAATCAGCTAACGTCAAACGTCAAAATTCGTTATACAAATCCATGAAATGTACAACGCCAACTTACTCGTTTTATCGTTCCCATTTACACGAGCCGGAATTAGAGAAAACGGCGTATTATTTTCCAAAAAGGTGTACATTTCGGATTTAATCAAAACATCAACAACAACCAGAACCGGGCCAATTAAATCCCGCTCGAAAATAGCGGGACAAATTCGGCGCGCCAATTACACCGGGTCGAAAGGTGTCGATGCGATCCGTCGTTAAGCGGGCGCTCCGGAAAAGCGGAAAAGCGTCGGAAAACCGCTCGAATTTCGAGCAGTCGAAACTGCCAATTACGACGGACATTGCGTGTCCCGAAAGGACCTACTCGGTGTGTATTATTAGGGGGATTCACCTATTGCATTTTCGCTGTTCTAGCTATATATATTTTTTTCCTCTCTCTATTTTCCACTTGTTCTGTACCAGACGCTAACAAGATTGTTTTTCTATAAAAAGCGACGGGATTTCTATTTTTACGAGTTTTCCGGGCTTTTCCGCGATAATCCGATTCGACGGGATTGTTCTCTTTAACCTGTTTGGTTCGGTGATTTCCGTAACGGTTATTTCTATCGACTCCCGCCTCTATTACAATACTATATTCCCTATCTAATCGACATCTCATAGAGGTGGGATTTTCGAACGAGTAAAAGGATTATTTTTATTGTACTAATTATTTATTATCTACAGTTCTTAAGAAACGAACCGGAACAGGAAGATTCTTAACCCAAAAATGACAACCTGGGAATAATACCAACCTAAAAATACCTTTTTGTTTTTCGTAGAAGTACATTTTTAGTTTCGAATCTAGCCCATTATTTTCCCCCTCATTGTTTCCATTGTATTCCACCCGAAAACTATCAAAACGGAATTACCGAAGCGGAAATACAGCGCTTTACAAATGCATTTTCCTCTCATAAAACACGAAATTCCATAAAAAAATTACCAACTAAATACCCACAAGTAAAAGACCGCAATTAAAAAAAAGAAGAGCCCACCAAGTTCTTCCCATATTAACCCGTAAATTTGCATATAATACGGCCATCTATAACGAACCGTGACGTCATAGAGCGGCTTAATATCTGCAACCCGTTCATATTCTCGGGATTATTCAATGGAGGGCTAATGCAGTTCGGGATAACCGCGAAAAGCGATAATTGTAATTCATCCGGAATTTATGTCGTGAGCAATGCGGCGACGGCGTCGTTTCGTATTCGCGTCGCGACGCCCTGCTACAATGCACGCCGTGCTACATTGCTAATTTCCATCGAGCGCTTTTCCTCTCGTTTTTATTGTTCTCGGCGGGTTATGAGGGGGTTAAGGGACGGAGCCCGTGCGCTCGATGCCGTAAATTCGGTCGGTTTCGATCGCGAAAAAGTTGGGTTCCCATGTAACCGGTACCGATGAATTCGAAAATGCGCTTTACCGCGACCGGAAAAGCTCCCTTCCGGTCGGAAAATCTTTTTTTTTTTGCTCGTTCTGAAAAGAAGTAGAGAGAAAACTTTTCCGCATTAATAAGCGCGAATTTCGACGCAGAAATCCGGAGCGCGAAGGAAAAGTTGGAGGAGTTTCCATCAACACGGGTTTATCTTGTTTCCCACCCCCAATTAAAACTCGCCGGCTCCGCGGGAAAACCGACAGCGGGTTATACATCGGAAAGTTTTCCTTTCGAAGAAAATTAATTACCGCTCTTTATACGTATAAAAAAATCCACATTTTTTTTCATCAGGGTTCATCGGAAAACGATAACAATGAACTTGACTTTCCCTACCATAAACTTTCCAAGTTTTCGAAAAAAATAATCGCTTTGTTAGAGTTGGGCGTTACAAAAAGTAACCGTTACATTATACCTATTGCATATAATACATCGAATCTAACACAGAGATGACGTCACGAAGCTTTTATGCGGGAAAAGTATCGAATAAGTAGAAGAAGAAACTGTCGAGTGAAAGGGGGGGAGTAAAGGGGGGGTTAAAGAAGAGCGAAAGGGGAGGGAGAGGGAGGGGTGCTGAGACATCGCCTGCCTCGATAAAATACACGCCAGAGTGATTTTCTATTTAATCTTGACAAGGTGTACACGCCGAGACACACACATAAGAAGGACGATGTAACTCCAGAGGAGATTAAAGGATAAAGGGATTATCCGAGGGTGTGTAGTGTGTATGCGGGAAAAAGTTTCGCGTCGTCGACGTCGAGACGCCTTTCATCCCCTCCGCATATACGTACACGTTAAATCCCTTTTCCGAAGGAAGATTTTTTTTTCTTCTATATTAATTGAAAGATCCCTAACTAAAAAAAAACCCATTTCAACCATTAAATTACCGCGTTTCAATCAAATGTCTGTTTACAGTGACAATTGACAGGGTATAGGGTATACAGATTGCTCCATTTTTCATTGCAACATAGGCTGTATGAGTGTAACAAAGACAACTTCTATTAAACACCATTATAAAGGAAAAAGAAAGAGTGATATTAGGTCATTGCAACTTTTCACTTTGACAACTGTCATTTTAGCAATCTTTCTTTGTTCAACTCATAGAAATGCCCATGTTGCAATCGCGAATGAAGCACAGTGTATAAGATAAGTTTGGGTGGTTTCTTTCATTGGATATATTGACATATTTGTTATATTTTGCAGTTGACAGCTTCCGATTCGAGCCGAGTGACGTTGACGTCTGTCAAACGCGCCACTTCCGGCCAGTACAAGTGCGAAGTGAGCGCCGACGCGCCGCTTTTTCACACCGAAATCGAGACGGCGGCGCTTCTGGTGGCGGGTAAATTGATTTTTAGCATAAATCGATTAATATTTTATTTATAATCGATTCGCAGAAGTGCCGCTCGACGGGCCCGTCCTCAAAATCGACGTCCACAAATTGGCGCCGGGCGCCCATTTGCGCGCCAATTGCACCACCCCCGGCTCCCACCCCCCCATGAACGTCACTTGGTCAATCAACGATCGCCCGGTAAGCTTACAAACTTATACAGTGAGGACCAAAAGTCCGTCGCCCCCACTTTAACTTTTGAATGGTAAGAGTTTTTGTTGCGCAATTTGGGGTGTTTTTATTGGAGTAAAAATACTATTTTTTGACGTAAAAATGACAGTTGAAACTTTCAAAATGACAGTTAGGCGCCATTTTGAATCTTTTTTTCTTATGGAATGGGGGGGTCAAGTGACACCTCGTTTTAAAGGTAATTTCATCCTTAAGTCAACCCCCAAATTTGAAAATATTTTAATAACGCGTATTCACGTGAAGACCAATTTAGTTTTAATTTAGGCAAAAAATTATATTTTTAATCCAATATAAACACCCCAAATTACGCAACAAAAGCTCTTACCATTCAAAAGTTAAAACGGGTGCGACGGAATTTTGATCCTCACTGTATATTTTCCCCCCTTTAATACATCAACAACAAATCGATATTCCAGATCCGAAACGGCGTCGATTCCTATCGGGCATCGATCGATAAATCGATCTATCGATTCGATTCGTTGCCCGGCTTGGACACCGTCCGTTCCACCATCCATCTCAAAACCGCCCCCGATTCGTTCCACAACGGCAAATTGACGTTGCGATGCACCGCCAACTTGTTCGATTTGTACGAATCCTCCAAGGAGATCGACGTCCTGGAGGACGCCCCCCAACTGGCCCTCGTCATCGACGGTTCCAACGATCAAAGAAACCACGGTAAGCATTTCACACAGAATGACAGTTGACAGATTAACAGATTGACAGAATGACAGTTGACAGAATGACAGTTGACAGAATGACAGTTGACAGAATGACAGTTGACAGAATGACAGTTGACAGAATGACAGTTGACAGAATGACAGTTGACATAATGACAGTTGACAGAATGACAGTTGGCAGAATGACAATTGACAGTTTTCGTTGGTTTTTGTAAATTTTCTTGTTGCAGGTTTTCGGGAGGGAAATTCGGTCGTGGGAGCGATGGGGATGTTGCTGTTGTTGGTCGTGTTAGGGTGAATTTAAGGGGGTGAAAGTGGGGCGATAATTCGTAGGACTGATTTATAGTTGGCGGTGGAAATGGAGGAAATTGAGAAATGAATAGAATAAATATGAACATTTTGTCGTGTTTTAATTGTGATTTAAATGTGATTAATTGTTAACCGAATAATCAAATGTGGCGCAATAAAAGAAATTGTTTACCCTATCTGTAATCCCTCCCAGTTCCCGCGAGTATCTATAAGTGCAGTGTTATCATTTTGTTGATTAATGGAGGATAAAATGTTGATATTAGAATATGTAAATTAGTTGAATAAATGGGTTTTTATTGATGTAAATATCGTGTTTTATTTTGTAAACGACAACTCACTTTATATACAAACAAAAGTCTAATCCAAATTAATCGCTAAAGTCAATTGTCTCAAACGTCAGATGTCAATTAATGAAACATTTTCAATCCAACGAATCGAGCCAAATTGAAAATAAAAAACAAAACCATCAGAGCCTGTTATTTTGCGGTTATTTCGCAACAAACAAAATCGAATCGCTAACTTGGGGAAAATCCGGTCGAAACCGCGACATCCGGAAAATAGAAGTTTTTCCTTGTACATCGGACGCGCCGCCATTAAACGGGAAACTTTTCTCCGCTCGGGCCCCGCGCGAGCCGGAGATAATCCTTCTTTTGTGTCCCCATATTTTCGACATAAATATTTTCTTTTTTCCGCCGCTTTTCCGGAAAGTTACGGTTCTGTTTTTCCGCCCGTCAACCGTCAATTGGCCGGAACCGACACGGTTAGCACCCGCCCGGTTTCCTCCGGAATTTTCCGCGCGGCTTTCCCTCCTCCAAACATATTTCACCGTCAGATCTAATAGAATTTTCCGACGCCATTTTTTTCACCGATGCCCAACTAATCGCTCCATGTCAATTGTCTCAAACGTCAAACGTCAAACGGCTGCTCAAACTTCAAGCTTCAAACGGGGATGAAATATTCGGGGAAAATGCCTCTTGGTATATCTATATAGGGAATTTTCCCGGCGACGACGAGCTGATTGAATTCGAGCCGGGATTTTCCTCTTTTTTTCGTTTATTTTCACGGAACACAAAGAGTCGTATAAACGTTTGTTACTTCACTCTGTTTACGGGGCGTAAAACTCCGCCAACTTTTATCGTCCGGTTTATTAGCGCACGTCCCTCGTATACTTTTTATTGTTTTTATTTTCAAAAAAAAAACAAACTGAAAACTTGTAAACGTTATATTCGGGAAACAGAATTCGAAAAGTTTAAAAATTATATAGAACTGTTCCAAGATAAATTAGGAATGTTTAGAATCCTCCAGAACCATTTTGGAAATTTTGCAGGATAATTTAGGACCATTTTAGAACTGTCTAAAGACCTTTTGAAACAGTTCAGGACGATCTTAGAACAGTTTCAGTAAAAATAGAACCATTCAGAATTATTTAGAACCATTTTAGAATTAACTAGATCAATCCGAAACAGTTCATGACGATCTTTGAACTATTTTCGAACAGTTATTGTATAAAATTATAAAATTTCGACTAAAATAACAGTTACAAAATAACGGTATTAATTCGTTTTTCTTAAGGAAATCTCCGAAAGGGATTCGCGCGCGCGGAAATCGGAGTTTTCCGCAGTTTTCCCAATCGAAAAGGCGTTATCATCGAAAAAGCGAAAATTATTCAACCGTTTTATCCGAATAAAATGCAATAATGGCGGAACGTTTAAATATTAAAACGGGGTACATATTTTGCTTTTTAGAATATATTTTCCTTTGCGCGTTCGCTCCGAGCGGAAAAATCGAAAGGAAACTTTCCCGCGCCGACGAAAGAATTTTCCACAGACACAAAAAAAAAATATTTTTCCTCCGCTTTTCTCCGGCATAAGGTGAATGTTTTTTATCATCGCGCTCCGCGAATTCGAGAGCCCGGAAAACCCCTTTCGAATTTTCCGCCCGCCATTATACAGGGTGTCCCACGAAAATAAAAAAAAATTATGTAAGATTTTTAATGTCTCCAAAACTATTAGGTTTAGGTATAGGGAAGTAAACACGAACTTCCCTTATTTTTGACCGCTGGTTTCATTTAAATAGAAAAAACTGGGTGGTTCCATTTAAAAAAATGAAGAAATTTGATATTTTTGAAGTTCAACTTTACGCACGTTTTGTACGCACCCTGTATAAAATAAAAAGTTTTTCAACGCAGATTCAAATACCACTGACCTTTCTAGTAGCCACCCTACAGAAACAATTTCCATATCTTTAAGGGGATCCCCGTAAAAAAATAATTTATAAGGGTCTGCATCGGATTATTAACTCAAAAAATATGCATTTTTGAAAAAAGTGTTTTAGACAAAAGTACCCTTAAATTTTACGTAGATTTCGAAAATATATTAATATACAGGGTGTTCCATTTGAAATAACAAAGTTGACGCCTACTTCCGGTATATCCGGAAGTGTTACGACTGTCAAAATATTTTTAAGAGTTTCGTCATATTGCATAACATATACATACCAAATTTTATTCAAATCGGTTAAGTAGTTTCCGATATACAGATAGTTTTAACTCGTCTTGGGACACCCTGTATAGAGCGATTTAGAGGGCTCAACGATTATGGGAATATAACATCGTCTACTTCGATAAGTCTTAGTATAAAATCGAAGTTATCTTCTAACTCCACCAGTTATACAATTTAACCGGATTAGGATACTCTAAGCTCACTTATTAATCGTTCGAGTTAATTTAGTTGTGACGTCATATAACATAGCAAATGACGTCATAAGATTGTATTAGAAATAAATCGAATCGACGAAAACTTGTTTTCGAGAAACATATTAAATGAAAATAAGATTTTCCTTGATATAAATATAAATTACCCCGCGTCTAGACATTTCGAATCCATCAATCTATTCATCTAAATAGAACCTATTTATTCCATATAGATTTATTTATCCACCAAATTGGAGCCAGAATTTCCTCCGAAATTCCGACATTTACCGGCTTTTCCGATACGCGATTTTCATTAGAGACAGCCTAATCGGAAAACAACTTTTTCCACTCGCCTGCCGCGATTTGTATCGTTAATTCCTGCGCAAAAATCCAATCCGTCAGTCACCCGGAGGATCCTGGGATGAAAATCTCCCATTCTCCTCCTCATCTATCGCCGGATTTCGCCGAGGAAATTCCGGAGAAAATTCCAGGGAAATGTTTACATGTTCCGCAAGCGACAAGGACGGGACGATCTATGTTGGGGCGTATTACAATATTCATACGGTCTAGTTTGAGCGACTGATGAAAAATTCAAAATTCCAAAATATAAATCAGGCCGGCTGTGGATGCTGTGATGCTGTTGGATGCCGTGATGGAATAATAAATTCCTCCGGGTTGTTCCATTATTAGAGAGAGGTTGCCTACCCTGTTGAATTCTGCATGTTTTTCCCTCGAACAAATTGAACACTGTCTGTTCCTCTTCCTCTCCCTCACCCCCTGTTCGCGTAGTGTGTATTCTGTCCTTGTTTTTTTTTATATAGATACCTACATAGTGTATGTACATACATACATAGATAAATATAATACATACACTGCCCGGAAATGGAAATTCCGGAACTGGCAGATTTAATGTTATAGTGCGTATACAGGGTGTTAGTTAATTGTATGTTGATACTTCAGGAGGTGAATATTTGGATGATTTTAAGAAGAAAAGTTTATATCAATATAAGTGAAAAATCTCTTAGTTTTCGAGCTACAGGGTGTTAAAATTTTAGAAAAAAAATTACTTTTCTATCATAATTTTCTTATTAAGGCAGATATTTTTATGAAATTTCTCGAAAACTAAGAGATTTTTCACATATATTAATATAAACTTTTCTTTTTAAAATAATCCAAATATTCACATCCTGAAGTATCGGCATACAATTAATTAACACCCTGTATAGAGCTATCAGACGAAGAAGTACAATTCTCTCCTTTGAGATGTTGAATAATTCATTCTTTATTGTACGAAAATATCGAGGACTCGGTTACTCCAAGCCTTTCTCCTAAATACTTTATTTTACTCGAAATTTACTTGAAATTTACTCGAAATTTACTCGAAATTTACTCGAAATTAACTCCAAATTTACTTGAATTTCAAACGAAAACAAACTTAATTTCAACTGCGAAACTGTCAAACGTCAAACGTCAAAAACTATGCGATTTCGTGATATTAAACGTAAACATTGTCAATTGTCAACAAAATCCAACAAATGAAATGAATGTGAATAGAATTTTCCGTTATTTTGAGAAGGTGAATAAAGAGATAAATTTTAATGCTATATAGCTTTATTAAATTGTGTACGATTCTCCCATGTTATTTTATATACCGGGCAACAATCAAAAGGCGCATTGTGTAAGTAAATATCGTATATATGATAGGTATAGAAAGAGGAATTTATATCTAAAATGTACGCCAGACAGTTTTCCCCCCCCAGTACAAAAGAAAAGCCATTTCCCTGTCACACTGAAAAGCCATACTACTACGACTAGTGTATATCATATTATTATAAGTACGCGTTAAAATGTCGCCGGGCGCGAAACAAGCGGAATTATTATTGCGCATAAAAGCCTTCAGAGATATCTCTCCAGATGGAGAGAGTGAACAAATGAACAAAAACTCCATACCAAACGAGATTCGCGGGCATCACTTTGTCGCTTAAATAATAAATGGCTTTCGCGTTTGTTTGTTAGGGCGTCGTGACGCCGACGGCCCGACGTCCCGACGCGCGTCCGATATGGATATATTTCTATATTAAATGTATATAAACATGTCTGTTCGGAAAGCGACAGATTATTTAACGTTTATCTCGGGAGATTATTATTCAAGTCTCTTCCTAATCATTTCGTCTGGTCCGAGTTTTTTTTTTTTTTAATTTGTGGGAGAGGAGAGGAGAGGAGAGGAGAGGAGAGGAGAGGAGAGGAGAGGAGAGGAGAGGAGAGGAGAGGAGAGGAGAGGAGAGGAGAGGAGAGGAGAGGAGAGGAGAGGAGAGGAGAGGAGAGGAGAGGAGAGGAGAGGAGAGGAGAGGAGAGGAGAGGAGAGGAGAGGAGAGGAGAGGAGAGGAGAGGAGAGGAGAGGAGAGGAGAGGAGAGGAGAGGAGAGGAGAGGAGAGGAGAGGAGAGGAGAGGAGAGGAGAGGAGAGGAGAGGAGAGGAGAGGAGAGGAGAGGAGAGGAGAGGAGAGGAGAGGAGAGGAGAGGAGAGGAGAGGAGAGGAGAGGAGAGGAGAGGAGAGGAGAGGAGAGGAGAGGAGAGGAGAGGAGAGGAGAGGAGAG